AATTACAAGACATTATCTGGCCATGTTTAAATTTGCTCCCACATATTAGGAATGTGCAGGTACAAATTCCTGAAACAAACTTGTTCCAATGAAGAAAGTTGTCTTCTGGGTTTAGGCACCGTGTATTCTTCGTAGCGCCTCCATCTTCAGAGCAGTTGAATAGCTGCGGAGAGCAGTAGCTGTAGCTACGTTCCTCCGAAACGTCGGCCAAAACGAAGAATACACGGTGCCTAAACCCAGAAGACAACTTTCTTCATTGTCATCGTCGTGAAAACCTCAAAACTTACAAACTTGTTCCAAGTTAAATGAAGAGCAAATTCAAGACAAGCAGTAAAATTTCAATCGAGTCCTCTCCAGTAAATATGCTGCAACCTCTTAAACACCAGTGTACAGTATATAGACCTGAAAGTTTCCAATCCTGGTTTCATGCCTACTTACTGAGACGCCCAAGTATGTAGTAAATTTGTCTGCTCCCTGCCAAGGACAAATTTGCCACTATAAAAATTGTGCCAGCATAGAGTTATCAAATGTATATGATCAGGCACTATTTTCAAAAGAAAATGTATGTTTTTGAAATAAAATATGAAGTTCCGTGCTTAAAATGTAAGGGGTTTATGTATAGCTCCTTCTTGTCTGCAGATATAATTTTGCTAACATCTTTGGATGTGGAATTGAAATTTATGTTCCCTCCCTTGAAAGTATCCAGTATTCTTGAATCTAATTCAAACATTATACTCTCATCCTAGGCCTGCAGTGCCCAGGTAAAGTTGGTTACATGCAAGCATCTGCAGAGTGCTAAACCCTGATATAATACTGGAATTATTGCATGCTGTATGGTTATCAAAAATCAGCATACCATAATATTTCAAATAAGAATGTCATTTAGTTATTTAGGTTATAATGTAGGTACTATGGGATTTACACTGGTTCTAAAATATAATGTATAGCAGTAATGAAAACATTGCCTGGGGAAGTATAAAGATATGGCAGTAAGAACTGTGTTATGGAGATTAGAATGCTGGACTTGACAGACAAAATAACACACAAGCAGCAGAAATTAGTTTTCTGAGAGAAATAGCTGGAGATTGAGCTCTTGATCACGTGAACAGTGCAAACGGGAAAAGAAAAATAGAATGCAGAAATAAGGGAATATAATTTAAGATAGTTCCAAATTTCAGAAGGGTAAACAAATTCCTATATCTTGCAGACACTTAGAATATATCAGCCAAATGGAAACAAAGTCAGGGACATCCAAGGATGCAATGGAGAGGCCACTTTTAAAATTCTTATGAATCTTAAAATGAGACACATTTTAACAGTTTTGCATTTTATTTTAGTTGGTTATTTAAGTTGCATTTTAAAAATTAATACCCCTCTATGCGCGAAAGTTGGCATTAGCTTCGCTGACAAACGGCTGCCGCTTGGTCGGTAAAAGCAGACTGGTCTCTTCGCTTGCGGATTTCTTATATTTTTCCTTCTACCCTGAAGATGGAGGTGATATGTTCCTCCGAAACGTTGGTTAACACCACATATACATGGTACCAAATCCCAGAAGACTGCTTTCTTCATAGTCACCACCGTGAAAGCCTCAAATCTTACATAAAGGCCTCAGGTTTGAAAATGGTCATATCCGATGTAGATTGTAAAGCTCCTCTGTTATCCATTATAATACCATCAATTGCAATAAATGCAACTCATCTGATATCATACATCATACATGTAGACAAGCTGGCAAGAATGATTTTCTCTTTATTACCCAATGAAAAAAATTTAAGTATAAATTACTGTAATTGTTGCTCACTTTAATCTTTGGAATATTTCATCGTTCCCTCTTTAAATTAATGTAAACCAACTTGCACATGCCTATTATGCTTCTAGCGTGATTCAGTTCCAATAACCATCTATTGTATAAATTGTAGGTATTCCAGAATATGACTGGCTATGTTCTGTAGTGCAGTATATAAAAGAAAATTGTAAAACCTTTTAATACAGTGGAATCCCAATTTCTCAGTTTAAGGTTTTCTTTTCATTTAATGTTAATTTTTTGGAGCCCCAGAAAAGGCTCCATATATGCAATGTATAAATTTTAGTGTTTCTCAATTAAGGGTTTTGCCCATATTCAGTGGATGAAAATTTGGTACCTACATGAAGTCTGTACACTGATTTAATGTTTATGCTAAACCTGAGGGCCATAATTTATCCAAGCTTCTTATCATTGGATGGTCAGCTAGTGAACAATGCACATAGGTGTTCACTGACCTTGAGTAACTAGAAAGAAGGCGCCACACCACACTTGATCTACTGTATGCTGTTGGAGACTGTGTTAACATGTGTGCACTGCATATAGTTTGCAGTATAGGTATATAAATCTATGGTTGAAAATGGTATATGTGCATTTAATTGCATAAATGTAACCATATAACATATTTATTTACACACATGCATAATTTCTGTGCATCATTCGGCAATCTTCAAAACTGAATTAGTGATGGCAAACGAGGAAGAAGCTAAGAATAAGTGACAAACTGGATATGACTTGCAGATTGGGTCATTCAAATGTTTGACGCCTTCAGATGGCGAATCAAATTGGACTCCCTCTATGTACATTAAGCAAAATCAGGCTTTCGAAAGAGAAGATCACAGATACAGAATTTAAATGTGGGGCACAAGCCAAGAAAAGAAAGAACATGAAAATAGGATCTTATGGTGAACTGGAAAAGATTCTGCTGGAATAATTCCAGCAAATGTGTTCTCTGTTTTTATTTATTTGCTTATTTTGAATGATTTATGTTAGGTATATTTCTTCAGTATTTTGTTAGATTAAAATGGATATTTGATACGAATGCTAGAACATAATTTTCCGTTCAATTTCATACAACCCCTACTTAAGAAATTTCCTGATGTAAGGTACAAAAGTTCTGCCTCCAAGGCAAACCATAAATGTGGGTTCCACTGTATTAGCTGTATTATATGAACAACAGTATGTATGTAAAACCTGACATATTTATAGTAGTGAAGATTCATACTGTGGTTGACTGAGTTACGACACATACAGTCAGACCTAGCAGACTACAAAGTGTCAAAACCAGAAAATCACAGCATAATCTGTCAAAAACATCTTTGAAGGTATATCTTGCACTGGATAGGCAACAGTATGAGAGAAAAGTCTTGTGTGCTCGACAAGATCTCTGGTATAGCAACTTAGGTTCCCTTTGTTTCTTCAGAATAGAACTTAGTAACTTTCTAATGATAACAATAACATAACAGGCTACATCACTCTCTGAAGATCCACCCTCAGAGATGTTACAGATGGAGTATACAACTATGTATGTATGTCTTACATGACACTTTCTTGTTCACTATCCAGTTCCATACTCAGATGATGATGATGAAATTCCCTGCTTTATGGAACCTAAAGGTTCAGTACTGGAGCTAGGATGGCTCAGTCAATATAGTGACTGGGCTACAGGCTGGATGACCAAGGAGCCGGGATTTGATTCGTGGCAGAGGATAGAGATTCTTCTTTTCTCCATATTATCCAGACTGGCTCTGGGGCCCACCCAACCTCCTGTACACGGGGTACCAGTCGTTGTTTCCCCATAAGTGAAGTGGTAAAAGGTAAAGATAAAACTGTCCCTGTAACAGGCCATGGAGGTCCATAGGGTAGTGAGACGTCAAGGCTCCCACATTTTCTAGACAGTCGGCTCGCAGATGGCGTTGAGGTTGTCAGCCTTATGCGTTGGCCACTCTTTACCCCCAGGAAGATTCCTGATAGTCATTTCTGTTAGAGGCTGAGTCAACCCCAAGGCCATAGTGTGGCTGGAAGAGAAGTGAAGTGGTAGTGGCGGAAGCTGGCCGCTCACCTTCGTCCAGTATCAAGGTTAAGAATATATGGAGCTACACCTCCATGCCCCCTATATATCTTCATGGTATAGATAATTTTACCTTGCGTTTACAATAAAGGTTTATTACTGTTTATGGAAGTGCACCATTGGACCCTAGCTTGAGCCAGTTCAATCAGGTTTACGTCTTCAGAATGTAGTCTCAAAGATCGTGTTTCGTGTTACTGTGCCAACTGTGCCCAACTGGCCTTTTACTGTAATGTTTTGCAGTCAAATTTTGATATTAATTTCTTATTTCCTCTGTGTATGCTGTATGCCCCACCTAGCTCAGCCCTCTTGCTTTAATCACCCTGAGTTAAGAGTACAAATTATTAAGCCCCTTATAATGTTTTACATTCCCAGTCCTTCCTCTCTCTTTGATCAGAAGATTATCCTTGACTCTTTGTTTTCAAATGCCCTGTATGTATGTAATGAAATTCTGTTCATTAGTGTATATAATTCAACAATTACTGAATTCTAGGAATGATGCAGAGTTATTAAACTTTTGAGTAAGTAGTAGGCAAGATGTAAGGAACTTATCCTAGGGGAGTAAATTACATGACCAAACACTATAGTCATATCTGAGACATAAAAATGTTTTATACTTGCCTGTGCTCTCAACATTCCTTCAGTATGAAATACTGTGCTAATTTCATGTTCATTTTATTAATTTGCTGTAAGAATGCCAAAGGTTAGTTTAGTTACATTTTTATATCAATAAAACAAGTTTTAGATTTAAAAAGTGTGTATTTCTTGACTTGGGGGGGGACTGTGATTGCTCCTGGTTAAGATGAAAATAAGTGTTACATTTTCATTTTTTGTCTTTCCTTATAGATATTGTCAGACCATCTTCATGTGCCATATTGAAGTAAAATGTCACATTAAAAGTAAATTTTGATATACTTGGCATATCAGTTGGCTGTGCTACCAGAATACCTCAGGTAGACACTGCCAATGCTCTTGAAAGTCATTTTACTTCAGTTTTTAGCTCGGGGCAATAGTGATCCTTCATTTGAACTTTTAAAAGACAACGCAGAAGCATTACTGCTAAATTTTGTATCTCTGCTCATAGAACCATATAATGCCTCATTCAGTGTGGACAATCTGCTTGGAGTGTTAGATAACTGTTGCAGCACGTCTGCCGGTCCCGATGGTATCGATAACCAAGTGCTCTCTCACCTTCCATCTACAGGGAAGGCGTTTCTGCTGCCCGCGTACAGCCATATTTACGCTGACAACTCAACCCCAGTTGCCTGGAGAGAAGCAGTGGTTATCCCTATTCTGAAACAGGTAAAGATTGGTCCCTCGGAACTAGTTACAGACCTATCAGACAAACTGTGTTTATAAGACCACGGAACAGTAAACTGTCCAATTTTCTAGCTCTGAAGCATAGAAATCTGCTTTAAAATGCTCACTGTGTGTTCTGGTGTTATAGATGCACCTTGACCACATTGTGAACCTGGATAAGTGTGTCCAGAATCGTTTCTTCATGTTAAAACACGTCGCAGTCTTCAATTTGGAGGTGTATGACATGTGGTGATGCTATATCCTAAGGACCCTACACCAGTGGAATCTGGTTCTTTTTACTTTTCTCCAGGGCTGTCCTTTTCAAGTTTGTCTCAGTACTGTTGTTTCTGCTTTTAACAATAAATTGAAGTCCCACAAGGATTGGTTTTAAATCCCACCTTATTTGTTATTGTGATCAAAGGAATGGTTAGCACAGTTAGTCCATCTGTCTCAACATCACTGTATGTTGATGACTTTGCTGTTTACTAGTTTCCAAAGTGTGATTAACACAGAATGCTGGCTACAGCTTGCCATAAATTGCTCTGCAGAATGGATTTTCCTTTTCTACATGACAGACCCACCGTGTACACTTCATACAATGGCAGGGATTCTTCCCCTCATCTGTTCTGCTCTGCCATTTGCTCCAGCCTTCAATTCAAGGCCTTCTTGACAGCAAACTCGTTTATCTCACATGCAGTGACTCTGCATTAAGAGAAGTCAGCATTTTGTGGCAGATCTAGGGGCAGGGACCAGACAGTGATGCTTGTCCCCTAATCCACTCTATGATGAACTATAGCAGTTCTTCATTCATGGCTCTGCAATGAAATCCAACCTGCCCATCATAGATCCTGTTCATAAAGCCAGGATTCATCTGGCCACTGGCACTTTCCATACCAGCCCTTGGAAGAGTCGCTGCTCTCTCTGTGAAGGAATCTCTTCCTCTGCATTTACACAACTAAGTTGTCAGTACTGCACATTAAAAATCCCTGCACTGTTGCCACTATAATTACACTGTAAGCAGCACATTTCTGTCTCGGCTGAACACTCTTTAATGTGAAGCAGAGATTACATAAAAAGCTAAGATTGACTGGACAAAGATGAATACTTATTTACTCATGTAGCTGAACCCTTCTAGAGGAACCACCAATTCTGCAGATACTCAAGAATTTCCTAACATTTTATGGAACCCGAAGGTTCATTACCGTGTTCACAAGAGCCCTCCACTGGTCCCTATCCTGAGCCAGATCAATCCAATCCATACCATCCCATCTCTGTAAGATCCATTTTAATATTGTTCACCCACCTAGACCTTGGTCTTCCCAGTGGTCTCTTTCCTTCTGCCTTTCCCACAGATATCCTATATGCATTCCTCTTCTCCATTCGTGCTACATGCCCTGCCCACCTCATCTTCCTTGACTTGATCATTCTAATTATACTTGGAGAAGAGTACAAGGACAAAGACCAGTTGGCACATAAAAAAATTACTGGTAGGATCAAGTTTAAAATATATTCTTAGGGAGTAGCATAATGGATTTAATGAACAGAACATCCCAAGGTAAGAAGAATGATGACAATCCAAAAATATAATGAAAACAAGAGATGATTTTTGCAAGCTTGAATTTATTATATATTTTACTGCATTACACAGTTACCATATGGAGCTCTTTATTCCATGTTCTCAGGAACTGGCAGTACTTTCCTGTACATAATTTTTCTTACTTCTGACATAAACGAAAACCAAGATTGAAGAAAAAGCAAATTCTACATAGTAATGTTTCGTTGGATTCTCACTGCATTAAATTAGCCCTGAAAAGAAATCTGATACATTTGTACATTTAGATGATGGAAGATTGTGATGAAGTTCAGCTTTCTTAGCCTTTCTTTTGCCATCAACTTGAATGTCCTCAAAGTACTTAACATTCCAGAATTTAATTTTCTGATCATGTGAACAAGATGCAATGAATTGTCCATCATTAGAGATGTCAAGTGATTCGACAGACAACTGGTGTTGGCCCACTACACCCAAATGTCGTTGTGGGAACAGATGTGTTGCCCTGAAATCCAAAACACCAATTTTGATAAGTATTCTTGTTGGACAAATATCAGACAGTGTAGACTAGAGAAATGTCATCACACTAAAAAAAAAGTAAAGTAAAGCTATCCCTGTACCAGGCCGTGAAGGCCCATAGGGTTGTGAGATGTTGAGGGTCCCACATTATCTAGACAATCGGCTCAAAGATGGCGGTAAGGTTGTCAGCCTTACGCGCCGGCCGTGCTTTACTCCGCAAGAAAATTATTTAATTCCTGGTATTCATTTCTGTGAGAGGCTGACCTCATCGCGACTTGAACGCGTGACCTTCTGGCTTGTAGCATAGCCCCTCAACCATGCTACCACGTGCCCCCATCATCACACTATGCACTCATTTCTGTTAACGTGTATGATCTTGGTGTTCCCTCTCACAGCAGAGTTTAATAATTAGGGCTGACTTATACATTTTTTAAACAATCTGCCTACAGTTACCAAATTTCTTACCTGAGAACCCCATCTTCACATGCACATACAACAATATTTTCAGTCACTGGCAGCAGACAGTTGATGCCATGTTTAATGCCTGGAAATTCATCACTATGATATCCAAACTCTCCCCAGTTGAAAAGGTATAGTGTTCCGTTTGATGATCCAACCAGTAACTTGGTCTCACTTCTCATTATTGCCATTGAGGTTAGTTCAGCTTCATACACTTCAGACTGTAATATTGATTTAAATTTAATTTACAGTCACAAAACAGTGATCTCAAATATCAGACTTATTTTTACATGATTCTATATAGGACCCATGATGCCTAAGTCAACTGCCTCTGTGGTCAGAGTTCCTGGATACAGATCCAGAGGTCCCGGTGCTACCAGATTTTATGAGAAGTATTGGGTCTGGAACGGAGTCTGGAACTGAGCCTCATGAGGATAATCAAGGAGCTACTTCAAGGAAATAGCGGCTTCAGTCTAGAAAACCGAAATGAACTGCCAAGGGGACCTATTGCACTGACCATGTGACACCCTCGATCTGCAAAAGTTGGCACTAACCTCACCAACAAGCGGTGGTCGCTCAGTCAGTACAGTTCGCTTGCAGGATAGAGGCCACGGAGTTTGTTTGTTTTGATGCCTAAGTCAGTTAAGTGATAAGGTTCTACCTTCTCAGATATAATGCCATTTAGTAAGGTGAAAATCAAGAAACCAGAGTAACACAGTCGGCAAATAGAATTATACTTGCTGACTGTGTGCTTATTCTTCAGCACTGAAGATGGAGGTGATATGTTCCTCTGAAACATCAGTTGACTTTCACCCAACTATATGGCATTAGATACTAGAAGACAACCTCAAATCCTGCATAAGGTTTCATTCTCCTCTCTTACAACTCCAAGTTTTCAAATTAACTGAAATCTTACCTGAATATGAAGTTTTCTGTTACGAAGATCTAAAGAAGTAATTGTCCCATCACCACTTGTACAAACCAGATACTTCTGGACTTCAGTTGTAGCCATGCAGCTAACATAATCGTCCATTTCCTTCAGCGAACAGATTGGATCACTCTTCCTTATGTCCCACACTGAAAGCAACATCTAAAGCACTCTCTTGCTGAAGTTCTGATGATACAATATTATTACCCTCATCTTCCTTCAGTCCGAATATTCCCCCTTTTTACTTTGTTCTCAAATTAGTACTGTTACAGTTATGAATAGGAAAGTTCTATAAAAACTAGAATCCATGGTTTTCACCCTGAGCTAGAAACTTCCATTAATATTTTCACTGTAAATCCCAAGTATACTTGCCTAAATGGGATGTCTGCGTTGTGAACTGTTCATTCAATTTTGTTCTTAATGTAAAATTCTTATTACGTTTAGATTCTAAAGGGTTCTGACGATGGAGTGTAAAACTCCGAATTACTGGAAACAGGTCCAGTTTCTGAAACACTGCACTCTATAATTATTTTAGAGTACCAGGTGATGGACAAAGTCAAAAATCCAAGTAATTCTCAGTCTTATTATATGCTCTGTGAGCATTTTAATTTAGTATCAGATTCAAAGAATGTGTGTTCAAAAGAGTGAGAACTTTATCCTGCTGAATTTTAGGAAAAAATATATATGTCAGCACTTTCCAAATGTGCTGAAAGAGTCCAGACCCAATTCAGTCATCTTGCTCTATTACGGAACATATATGTTCATTTCTGCTTGTTTACTATTTTTGTATACATACACAGTTAACAGTTTAAACTCACATTTGACCGTTCCATTATCATCTCCTGAAGCCAAAAGATTTTCATCCATAACTAGTAAGCAATATAATGGATCACTGAAACAAAAAGTACATTCCTCTCTACATCATTTCAAATTGAGTAACTTTTATGCACAGACACGTTCTAAAACAACTGAATATTCCTCTACACAGCAATGTTCAGATGCAGTGAACCTGTGTGAACTATGCAGATACACGTCTTTATCAGAACATTTCTCTGTTGTCAAAAACAGAGACTCATTAATGCATGAAAGGGATAACAGTTTCAAACTTATTTCAATGTCTAGTTTCTTGTTCATATAATTTTATTCCATACTGTAATACCTTCAGTGTTCTTCAGAAGGAACATTTAAAAAATTTTTAAATTCGTTTAGTGGGGAGTGGAGTCCAACTGGGTCCACTCGGCATGGCGGCCACCGATTGGCCTAGTGTACCTGCCCCGAGTGATTATGATGATGGACAATTTGGTGGAATAAAGATTGGCAGGGGAAACTGAAGTATTCAGAGAAAACCGGCCCCAGCACCACTTTGTCCACCACAAATTGCACTTGATCGAACCCGGACTGCCGCAGTGGGAAGCCAGCGACTAACCGCTTGAGCTATGGCGCGGCCTCAGAAGGAACATTACTTGTCACAAGTGGACAGAATATGTGCAGAATACTTTAGTGCTATATTAGGTGGGTCCCTTGTCACCACGGCATGGCACATCCTCAGGTTGCAGATGGAGGGTAGCTACGAATATGCTGAATAAGCAGTCGTGGACTGCCAACAAGGGGTAGTCCTCCAGATTTGTGGTTGGGCATGGGGCTAACAACTCCTCACCATAAAAATAAACTTGTTACAAAATGTCACAGGAAGGGAGAAACACAGACTGAGGGTGTTGGAGAATATTGGACCAAAGTGGGATTTAGTGACAGGAGGTTGGACAAAAATGCATAATGAGGAGCCTCATAACTTGTACTCTTCTCCAAGTATAATTAGAATGATCAAGTCAAGGAGGATGGGATTGGCAAGGCATGTAGCACAAATGGGGGCAAAGGGGAATGCATATAGGATATTGGTGAGAAAGCCAGAAGGAAAGAGACCACTGGGAAGACCAAGGAGTAGGTGGGTAGACAGTATTAAAATGGATCTTAAAGAGATAGTATGAGGTGGTATGGACTGGACTGATCTGGCTCAGGACAGGTACCAGTGGAAGTCTCTTGTGAACACAGTAATGAAGCTACTGGTTCCATAAACTGTTGGGAAATTCTTGAGTAGCTGCACAACTGGCAGCCTCTCAAGAAGGGCTCAGCTTCATGTAGTTAAGTTATTACACAAGATGAAACAAACAAACCTGAGAATGAGTACCACACATTCACAGTAAAGTAAACAAGTATTTAGCATAAAATATTTATTCAACTTACTCATGAGCATTATCATAAAACTGTTTCAGCTTCCCTGTATTACAATCAGATATCATGATTGATTTATCCTTCGAACATGAATACAATATGTTTCCATCCTTACTGAACTCTATATCTCTGCAAGCTTTTGTATGCAGTTCCAAGGTGTTAAGTATTTCAGTACTTTCATTTGTGTACTTGTGCCTAAAAAATAATTATAAACATCATAAAATTTACACACTTCAGTTTAATGCAGGTGGTGCAAAATCAAACTTACAACTAGCAGGCCAGTATAACTAAAAATAAGTCACATATAATAAACAGTAATACTGTCAGCATGTTACTGATTATGGATCCTGATTTTATGTCTGTACTACAGTTTGGCTTCCAGTAAAGACTGTAAACATGTGGGCCTAGTGTATAATACAATATTATTAACATATTTTTTACACTATTTGCTCAAAAATAAAATAAGATTAGGGAAATATAATTGTTTCATAAACTGAATGTGATTTTGTGTGGGGGGAAGTGAAATAAAAATTATGATCATTGAGAGGGGCCCAACTATGTAAAGTTCAGAAACCACTATCATGAGTGCTCTAAAAAACATACTGCAAATTAATGCTGATATATAAAATTAGAGTCATCAGTTGCTGGCATTCTTTATGTTACTCACAAAATCACATCTCCTGTTATAGTAGCAGCTGCAATAATATCATTTTGAGGATGAAAAGAAATATCTACAACGAAGTCTTCTGACTGGATATCTGGTGGATGTTCTCTGCATTTCTCTCGTTCTTTTCTAATTGCTTTCACAACTTCATCCTCGTCGTCTTCTTCGTTTTCACTATGTGTTACTGGCACTGTGTTAGTACTGTCGACAATTTCATTGGTACTATCACTGCTGTCACTGTCAGTCTCACTGCTTATGCTTACATCATCATCCGTGTCACTTGATGTCCCGTCTTCCATATTTTCATCCAGCTCTGTTGTAACAAAATGTAAATTTTCTAATATGATATTTTTGGAATATAATATACAATAATAAATACATCACCTGTGATTCATTTTGGGATGAAGTACTCTGTAACATTTTAAATCGAAATGTGTATGGACGAGGTGTCGAGTAAATCAGTATAACAGTAATATAAATTGGTAAACTTGAAACATGCTAACAGAATGTGACATGTTCAAAACAATGCATACTTTTAAGTTTGCACATCCTCTGCTTTCTGCTTGCTAATTTTGTTTTTGTTCTCCCCTGCCACTCTCAATCATACCCTCACATATAGTATACCTAACCATAAACAAATAGTACCACACATAATAAATAAAACAGTCCTCAATTTACACGTGACGTTTCCTTTTCCGGCGTCGAGCATGAATCAGTGGGGGCATACAATGTAAACCATATTGACCGGTCCTGACGGTCCTGACCGTCCTGACCAACAGTAAGTTATTGTTTACGTGTTTCTCAACCTGGCTAAAGTATGGTTGGTTACCAGGTTCTGGTAATCCGTGGTTTGTAGAGTTCTGTGACTGTAACATTCGGATATTTCAGGTTTCTGAATGTGTTAAAGCAAAAGGGTGCGTGGAGGGGAGGGACTGTTCGTATGTTATTTACGTACGTTGTACAGGTAGTGTGATTTGTGAATATTGGAGCAGGTAACCGATAGAAGCGCGTGACGCGCCTAGCAGTGGTGGTAGGTTGTTGATTCAAAATTATACAGCATTTTGGTTTAAGTATAACTCTGTCAACAATAATTCGATAATGTAATGGCGCATAATAGTTATGTACCGATAATTCTACAGTCACTGATTTTGTTGTAGTTACGGTATAGTAACATTTGTAGACCTATTTATTGTAGCCGTTCTGCGTGTAAAGTAAGTACCACATTCTTTTCGTTGTTAGCATTGCATTATAACGCACCTTTGAAATTGTTTTAATTTGAATTTCAGTTAAGTGTATTAACACTGGGATGTTTATGTACATCAGTTCTATTATTTAAATTGTAATTCAATGTTGGGTATATTTTGGAGAAATTCCATTTCAAATCAGCATACAGTAGTTCATTTTTCAGTCCAAACTCTTGTGATTTCGGTAAAGTTCAGCGATTTTGCAGACCCCCATAGGAGTGAAAATGTTAAATTTTAGCCCTCTGTGCCTTTGTAGTTTCTTTTCAGAAGTAATTTAAAATTCTGAAGAAATCACGTCATATGTCATATCATACCTTGTAAAAATTACTGTCATTCTAGCCCAAACTGAGCTAGAGAGGTCACTTCGAAACTAATGAAATTTGGTTTCTAATGATGCCTAGATTTAACTTTGGGCAAATCTTCATGATATTCTCCCTCTTCACTACAGGTATATGAAAATGAAACTGAAGGATTCTAGCCCAAACTGAGCTAGAGAGGTCACTTCGAAACTAATGAAATTTGGTTTCTAATGATGCCTAGATTTAACTTTGGGCAAATCTTCATGATATTCTCCCTCTTCACTACAGGTATATGAAACTGAAGCTGTATACACATGCAAGAAACTTATCTTGATCTCATTTATTTCATAATCACACGGAAAATACGTGCAAACTATCAGTGATATCATGTGCTATGCTACAAATTCTGAAATGTCCTTCAGTTCTGTTCCTTATGGATGTGCAGGTAGTAATTTCACTCTGGAATCTTCTAAATTTGAGTACAGTTTGGTTCTAAAATTACTTTTAACTAAGCCATGTGTTAGCACAGAAATTATACTTTTGTGACTCCACCGGCACCTTCTGTGAAGAATCTCTTCTAAGATGCCTGGTGCAATCACACTGCCAGTATACTAGCTGTCCAGTCATGCAGTAGTCAGTCCCTGGTGGCATTGTTCCCATGGAGGCTCTAAGCCCTTCCATCTCTCAGCCCCACTGCTGGTCCAGCTGCCTTCTTCATGGGCGGTAACCTCGTGACTTTGTTGAGCCATCTGTCACCAGCCATGAAGAGTTACTGCTCCGCTTCTCGAGCCTTCTATCCATCAGTGAATGCATGAACAGCCTTCATTTGGATGAAGTTCTGAGGTAACCATACAAGGGCCTGATGAACCAATTTCTCTAGAGCTGCTGCAAATTTTTTGTAGTGACTCTCCACTCATCTGCATCCTGGCTTGAGAGTTGAGGCCAGCAGGGTGCCTTGACATTGTCCTTGTGTGTCACTCTGGGACATAATATAGGAAGTTGGCAGCCTGTCGCCACATAAGGACAAGTGGATGTGCAGCCTTCTCACAGGCTGAAAACCCACTGTGATCAGCCAAGGTCTTGAACCATCAGGGAAACACTGTCAAGAGAGAGGAGAGGGGAAGTGTCTGTGGAGATGGGTCAATATCTGCACGGTAACCCTGCCACTTTCCCCTTAACACAATCCTAATCTGGCTCTTGCCTGCTACATCCTGGCCCATCTCCACAGACCCTTTTATTATTATTATCATCNTATTATTATTATTATTATTATTATTATTAGAGGGGGCGGGTTTCCCCATGCACTTAGATCAGTTATTGGTCCATTGTGCGTCCCCCTTTAATTTCTACTGTCGCCATACCCTACTGTTACTGCTGCGTGCCATCAGCCCCATTCAGCCAATGAGGTCGGCCCTCGGTACCTGATATTTCCACCATCTACCAGAGGCATTGGAAACTACTTGGGCGGGAAACTTGTTGCCTAATTTTGCTCAGAGGTCTCGTAGAGACATGAGGATCTTTTATGTGCCGTAAATCTACGACATGGGACCCACGGCTTAAAGTCCCTCTTGGAGGACTTGTTCTCTGAATTTTTCCGCCCTTAAAAATTCCACGACCTCCACCGGGTTTGAACCCGTGTACCTTGAGTCATGAGGTGGGAACTTTACCCCTAGACTATGGAGGCCGCTTCCACAGACCCTTACTCTCTCCTCTCTGTTGATTTCCCATGTAACCCTTCCTCTTCTTATATAGCTGGGTGTTAGTGGCTCAGTCTGCAGCCACATGCTCACACTGGTTCCTCGCTCATGGATTTGTCTACCCTGAAGATGGAGGAGATATATTCCTCCAAAATGTCAGTTCACACAAGATCTACTTAGCGCCTCATCCTAGAAGGCAACATTCTACATACTTCTCATGTTACTAAAGTTTGATCATTGTAAAAATGCTGTCTATATAGGCAGGACCTCTTTGTAATCCACACTATACTTCATGTAAAATATGCTTTGTTAGTGTGACAACTTATGTAAATAGAACCTTAACATGGAGTTTGTAGTGAGTACTGAGTAACTTATTCATCAGAAAGTAATAACTTAAATCTTTTGTCTTCTAGGATGTGATGCAGTATGGTTTGGTAGATAGGTACCAGCATTTTGGAGGTGCTTGCTGTCTCCATCTCAGGGTAGGAGAGGTTCTGCTGCACATCAGTGTATCCCAGAACACAGTAATCTTCATAATTTATCAAAGAATAATAAATTCTATTATTCGCTATAACAAGAATAGTAAATGCAATATTTGCATGGCACCAATGTTAGGGAACACACATCACATACATAAGAACGTACAAAATTGTCCTTATTCTCTTTATGCGTCTCCATGATTGGGTGGGGGGGAGATGTGGAGTAGTGGGATGCTAGAAATGTCTCCTCTCTCTCTCTCTCTCTCTAGGTTTTTAGGGTATATATTTTGAGTTATTCAGGGTCAAATGCCAACTTCTGTGACCTTGAAGCTGACCTATGTTATATCTAGGCATGTGGATGTGTGATACCTATTTGGAAACTGGATTTTAATGGCTTTCAGTTGACACCAAAATGAGCCCTCTGTCTCAGTTAGGGCCAGAGCTGTACCAATTTTTACAGGCTGTACAGTACTGAAAAATGTCATACCTTTTGAATTTTGATTCCTGCTATATGAGAATGAGACATAGAGAGCTAAAATTTGGTGCTTTCACTCATGTAGAGTCAAGAAACTCACCAAGCTTTGCTGAAGTATGGAAGGGGTGGGTAGTTAGCTGATTTGATTTACCCTAGAAATGAACTCTCATTCAGTGCATTCATTCAATTTTGTTTGTGCAGTACTACAGACTATACAAATGATAGAGGAAGTAGGCCCATATGGTCTCACAAAGTAATTGTTAGTATTAGAAAAATATACTTCAGCACTTGTCATTAGGCACATAATGATAAAAATAAAAATTGTACTGTCCATACACAAGATATCCCATGACTTGGTCTCATTACTTTGGTGGTGCATTAGGTTCAGATCAAAAGTTTTATATAAACATCGCCCATTCACAACCATTATAGAGCTATGACAAAGCAAATTTTGAAATTTGGGGACAAGAAAAATACGCTTAGTTTCACAGTTGCACAGACTAAACACTGAGGACCTTTTACTTACAGTAAAAAAGTAAAGTTGTCCCTGTGCTTAACTAAGCACTATTCCATGAAGGCGTGTGGGGGAGTGGATGTATAGATCCACATTTTTGTTGACTTCGGCACTAGTCGGAGGCGAGTGATCAACTTCACACCCCAGCCGCTTTACCCCCAGGAAAGAGCCCCCGGTACTCATTGTATAGGAGGTTGGGTGGACCCCAGGTCCAGTCTGGACAACATGGAGAAGTGAAAATTCTTGCCCCCACCAGGACTTGAACTCAGACCCCTTGGTCATCCAGCCTGTAGCCAGTCGCTATACCAACTGCTCTATCCCGACTCCTCTTACTTACAGTGCTTATTACAAAATATCCTCCTGCAGCTTGTATGCAGATCCTGATTCTGCTTGAAAGAGAATGGATGGATCTTTGAAGAATCTTAATTCTTCTTCTGTGTTAGCATGTTAGCAGCATTATCTCTGATTTAGTCAACAAGTATAGCTACTGTCTGCATACTTCTCAAGTATGTTTTATTAATCAGGAGCTAATCTAGTGAGGATATGTTCAGTGAGTTTGGAGGCCAGCTTCTGTACCTCCATAATCAATGCAGTGCTTATGGTAAAGGTAAAGCTATCCCTGATACAGGCTGTGAAGGCCCATAGAGTTGTCAGACATTGAGGGGCCCACATTATCTAGACAATCGGCTCAAAGATGGCAGTAAGGTTGTCAGCCTTACGCACCGGCCGCGCTTTACTCCCAGGAAAATTTCTGTTAAAGGCTGAGTCAACCCCAGGGGCATAGTGCAGGTGGAAGGATTAGGTCAATTGAAAAAAAAATCAAATGACCTCATCGGGACTTGAACCCGCAACCTCCTTGCTTGTAGCATAGTGCCTCAAGTGCCCCCAATACAGTGGTTATGGATATGACAATTAAGGAACCACATTACTTGCCTGCCAAAGGGAGTTAGTGTACGCTGCTTGCCGTCTGCTCTGGAGAGGAGTTATCTACCAGCAACTTGTGCAGTTCTTTCTTCAAGTAGTAAAGTTATTGCCCCATTATTAAATGCACTTCAGATATAGATAGAGCAATAAATTGATATATAAGAATGTGACACCACACGTCACAATAAACTATTTTGAAAATGTCCTCTTTTATGAAGATTCTCAGACAACCAAGAATTTAAATTTAATGAATTATAGATTCTGTCTTTGATAATTGTAGCTTCAGTGGTGAATAATACATGTGTACAAAGGTTGAACTAACTAGCTATCAGTGTTGAACACTTTGTAATTGGAAGGCAGTAACTGATAATGCTGACAAGCTATCAAATCAATTGAGACAGAATCCTTACAAGTTTTAAATGGGTAAATTTATGTTATCTGTGAAAATGGGTCATGTATTTGTGTACATTTTTTAACTTAAAATGGTCTAACAAGCCACTGAAATATTGACTTTGAGTCTCAGACCAACTGTGTTTACTTTTCTTACACTCTTTGTATTGATAATATACTGTGTTTATGAAATTATAATTTAAAATTTATACCTCCTCTTATAGGTAGCAGAAGCCAGAGAAGTTCATCAAAGGTGGCTTTTGATGAATATCTAATCATGGAAACAAACTTGCAGTCATATACTCGATGTGCAGCAACTGAAGTAATAAAGTTTTTACTGTTACCCGCTGCTTGAAAGAAGAACAGTGTAAATTGCCATTAATTGTAATGGTTGAGGAAATCAGTCAGAAGATGGAAGGAAACTCTGTTTGCAATAAATCAGCAGTTTATTTCATGATAAGTTTTCGTCAGCTCTGTATCGTAACAGTATCTCTACCACTGTGTGCACTGCTCATCTGTTTTGTCACTGCCTATATCTTCCAGCAAGATGATATTCATGAAACACATTGTCGAGTAAGTAGTACACATATCCACAAGTGAATATCAGGAAGTAATCCTTGAGAATACTTTCAAACTCTGTGCTGTACATAATTAAAGATGGAAGTACTTTACAAGATTATGGTTATGTACTTATACTTCTTTAATACTACCGTATTTACGCATGTATAGGCCGCACATTTTTTGCCAAAAAATCAAGAGGAAAACTGGGGTGCGGCTTATATTCGAAATCACACTTCATTTAAAAAAAATTATATTCATAATTAGTAATACAGGGTGTTCTACTCCTGAAATAATATTCCAAGAAAATTATTTTTTCTATAATTTCTGTCTGCAAATTGTGCTGCGGCCTATACATGCGTAAATACGGTACTTACACATTAACAGAAGTTCCATATACTCAGTACAAATAGAATATGAAATAAATTAAAATAAACTCAATTAATTTAACAGGTCAGTGAACTGAAATTCTTTGTGACAAATATCAAAATATGCCTGAGTACTAACTAACAAACCAGAAGACCATAATCTTTTTATTGTTTTCTGTATACACAATTCTGTTCGGTCCTACTTTTCCTGTTATATCTGAGATATTCGATTGGCAAATGCAAAACTTTACACCATAAAATTGACAAAAATATAAATACATTTTGGAAAAGTATATGAGAAGGCTAAAGAGAGGGGGAGGGGGGAACAAAAGGAAACAGTCATTGCTTAGTAACGCCTGGTCGTTACCTAATCCTTCCAGCAGCACTATGGCCCTGGGGTTGACTCAGCCTCTAACAGAAATGAGTACCAGGAATATTCTTGGGATGTTCTTGGGGGTAAAGGGCGGCCAGTGTGTAAGGCTGACAACCATACTGCCATTTATGAGCCGATTGTCTAGAAAATGTGGGAACCTCAACATCTCACAACCCTATGGGCCTCCATGACCTGTTACAAGGATGGCTTTACTTTTACTTTTCTTTTACTTACTAACTTTGCTAATACTGCTACAGATGTCTGTCAGTAAGGTTGCCTTAACTGTATCAGAACTTCATGCAGACAAACAAGATAGAAGGAATTGAAGAGTTTTGTCTCCTGAGATATAATGCTTTGTAGCCCAGTAAAAGTCAACCAACATTTGGGAGAAACATGTCACCTCCATCTTTAGGGTCAAATAGTAGGCCAGCAACAAACTGATATACTCTGCCATCGCCAAACATTCCAGATGGCAGTTGCACACTGGATACTCTTTAAGGACATACATTGTCCCCAAAAAACAGATAATTTTGATAATTTTGAATGTCTGCTCTAAAAATTCTACTTGCTATAACATAGTAAAATTTGGCAGGAGTACTTCTGTCCATTGGGACTGCAATCTCAAAAAGAAAATCATTTCCAAGGGTTTAGGTTTGGAAATGTCTCATTTCCATATTGATTTGATGTTGAATGACCCATCTTCCACAATGTTATCCAGGTAAACAGCTATGTGGCATGTTCCATAAGAAGTTTGTAAACCATTTATTACTATGCTGATGTTTAATTTGGCTGCTGATAAGTGACCAAAATTATTTTTAAAAATCGTTTTTGCTGGCCCCAGACACCCGGTACAATGCACATGTTGCACCCCAGTCAGGCCAGCATTGAACAAATCCGTAACATATACAAGGAGAGTTCTGTATATAATGCCTCCTATTTTTTTTAATGAAAACTACAACATGCAGAAAGCATAATAACGCAGTTAAATAGAGCAAGATTTCAGCTACTTACAGTTATTTTTCCACATAATCATCACCATTCGTTATGCACTTTTGCCAGCGATGAACAAGAGCCTGTATGCCACGCCCGTAAAAGTCTGCGCCAGCAGAGGCTAGCCACTTTCTTACAGCTGCAGTGACAGCATCGTTGTCTGGAAAATGTTGCCCACGTAGTCCGTCTTTCATAGGCCCAAAGAGATGGAAGTCTGAAGGTGCTAAATCGGGGCTATGAGGTGGATGGTAGGACAGTCCAGCCAAACTTTGCAAAGTGCCAGTTGGTTGCCAAACTGATATGGGGTCTAGCGTTATCATGTTGCAAGCAAAAGGTCGTCTGCTTCTCTGGCCTGACTCGGGAAATGCGGGCTTTCAGCTTAGTCAGCATCTTCTTGTAGCGTTCAGAATTGACAGTCTCACCAGGCTCCAGGAAATCCAAGAAAATCGCACCCCGCCTATCCCAGAAGACTGTGCACATCACTTTCACTGCTAATGGCTGTCTTGAACTTCTTTTTTCTTGGGGAATCCGGATGTTGCCACTCCATGGACTGTCTTTTGGATTCTGGCTCGTAGTGGTGACACCAAGTCTCATCTCCGGTGGCGATGCTGTCCAGAAACTTGTCACCTTCAGCCTCAAACTGGTGCAACAGGTCCTGACAGACTTCCATTCGATGAGTTTTGTGGTCCTGTATAAGCATCCTCGGGACCCACCTGGAAGAAACTTTGCGATAATCCAGCTTCCCCAACATCTTTTCAAATACATTACAGCTGATATTAAGCCGTGCAGACAGTTCCCTGGTCATTATCCGCCAATCTGTACGGATGAGCTGATCGAGGCGCTGTTCATTGTGAGGAGTGGCAGCTGAGCAGGGACGCCCAGGGTGTGGCTTGCTGTGCACTTCACTTTCGCCACTGTTGAAACGCACTATACACCGCCTCACTGTGCTGACATCCACTGTATCATCTCGGTACACCTTTAGCAAGCGTTGATGGATGTCAGTGGGTGCAATTTGTTCGGCAGTGAGAAATTCAGTAACTCATCTCTCTTTTGTACACACTTTATGTCAGACGCCATTTTATTAGACTGCTCTGCTTTCTCTATCTGTCGCACAACAACCAAACTAACAGTACATTGGTGGGAAGGTTCAACCTTTACTACAACACCACCAACATCCAGCTCAGACGTTACATATTAACACAGAAAAATAGGAGGCATTATGTATGAACACCCTTCGTACCTTGAAGAAAGTAAATGTGTATTAGTTTTCTATAAGTATTTGATAAAAGCGTTTGTGTTTCCAATTGGAAACACCCATTTCAGTTTGTTTAGCTGTGGCTGCGTGACCTGTAAATTTAAACCGGCATTTAAGCATCCACCAATGACTGTATTACAACAATGTTGCTTCCTCGTTGAATGCAATTTTTTTTTCCCCAGGTGTACAATGTCATCCCCTCCATCAGTGCAATCACAGGTGTAAGTCCACAGCGCTATTTGTGGCGTGTGTGTGTAGCATTCCATATTGGCCCACGTATTATCATTGCATCAATGTACCGTACTTATTACCATTCACTACTGTCATCACAATCTCCAGGCCCCAATCACCCAGGCAGCAGAGGATATCGTCTCCTAAACGTCGCATATTGGCTCAGCCTAGTCGAGATTGCTGCACTTTGTGGCGTTACCTACATTTCTAACAGGGAAAACTATCGTAAGTATTCAGAAAAGGCACAGAGTATCTGTAGTTATGGATTTCACTCATACTTTATTTCAAGAAGTGATAAATGTTGATTCCTTACTTAAGAAGGAAAGTTATTGATAACCCGGGGAGTTTAAATGACCCATGCACAAGCTCTCCACAGTGTTATTCCTTGTTAAAAAAAAAAAGTAAAAAATATTGTATGACATTGACTGCCTCTGTGGTTTCATGGTCAGAGTTTCTGGCTACAGATCCTGAGGTCCCGGGTTCGATTCCCGGCGCTATCAGATTTTCTGAGAAGTAGTGGGTCTGGAACAGGATCCACTCAGCCTCATGAGGATAATTGAGGAGCTGTTTCAAGGAAATAGCAGCTCTGGTCTAGAAAACCAAAGTTAACAGTCATGGGGATTCATTGCTCTGACCTCGCAATACCTTCTATCCACTAAATTTGGCACCAACTTCGCTGACAAGTGGCGGTCACTCAGTCAGTATAGTTCACTTGCAGACTACAGGCCACGGAGTTATGTCCTATGACATTTAGTTTTTAAGGCACTTGTTACCAAGAAATGGTGAGCTCTCTTTTGAATAGTGGATCGTCGACACCAGTTCTGCTCAAAGCAAATACTGTTCCTCTAGGCTTCAAACCAGAGTGAAGCAAGCGAGCTAGCAAAGTTGTGCTTTCCTGTGATATACCATCTGATGAAGAGTTAACTGCTGTACAGCTTTTGAGGCACTATTTAGACTCTGTTTATAACAGACATTAAAACAAGTTTATCTTATTTTCAGCTGTACATGAGAAAATCTTCATGGTGTTCATGTTTGGGTCCCTTAGCTACATGCTTGCCACAATCAAAGTCTTCAGATTGGTTAAACCAAATATGAGTGATACTGAGAGGAACTCATATTTGATAAAAAAGGGTCTGTTTGCAACTTCAATTGTGAGCACTGTTGGACTGTGTATCTTTTTCCTCAAACATCGCCTTCTGTGCCATGATATGGGTAAGTGTATACTTTTTATGTGGGATTCGACATCCGGTTATGTTTAAGCAGTATATTTAAGTTGACATAACGGTCTGCTGTAAGTGCTCAGTAATATCTGCCTTACCTGTGTAACTACTAAAGGGAACAGGAAACAGTAGGTAAATCTGTGTAAGATTTAAGATTTTCACGATGGTGACTATGATGAAAGTAGTCTTCTGGGATGTGGCGCCATGTAGATATTGTGTTAACCGACGTTTCGGAGGAACGTATCGTCACCGTCTTCAGGGTAGAAGACAAGAAGAAATCTGCGAGCAAACCAGCATGAGCAGATGCAACAGTCTGTTTTTTGCTCCTCAAAAACACATTCCTTTGACAGTGAAGATTCCTCATAAGCTACTTTTAAAAATTTATAACTTTTGGTGACTGTTTTCTTCTCTTACAGTAGAAATTGGAGATTAATGCACTATTCATAAATGTTACCAGACATGGTTATGTCATCAAAGCGTGAAGTATGTTCATGTAATTTAATACTGTGAGACACAAGAATCAATGACTGCTTAAATGATGGTTGAAGGCAATGTTACAGCATGAACTGACAGGTTGCAGGCAAGACATGACAGCAGCGCTCCACACTAGAGCCATTCCTGGAACTTCCAAGTCACACTTCAGGACTGACAGAATACAGAAATGATAATTTCTACAAATAAGTAATGCCACAAATGAACAAATTGTGAAAATATGCATAATTTGAAGTGAAGTGGCACTTTTTTTAATGTGAGAAAAATTCAACAGAAATTATTCTTGAAAATTAAAAGTTTTGTTTTGTCTTTCTTTTCCTACTCCCTTTCCTTGTTTTTCCTTTCCTCTTTTTCACCTCTTGATTATACTATTACAGTATTTGATTTTCAGTTACCACACATTGTATTCTTTTGCGTTATCCTTACTTATTTTTTTCACAGTTTATTTCACCTAATGAGTCTTGTCCAAAAATTGGATTTGTCATTATGAAGTAACTTTAGTACTTCTACACAAATACCTGGGTAGTACCATCAGGTAGGTCTCAGCTGCTTTCTTTCACTTCCAGTCCCATTCATCATTCATAAATAATCCTGTTGTTTGATGCTGTATAACCTATGCAGTTGATGGGCTGTTGTACAAAAGAGTGGGTAGCATCTTAGTGATGTGTTATGTAGACCTGTCACTAGGCAACATCTGTAGCCCCTCTAAAATTGTGACAATATGTTTGTTTGCAGCATTTAGTTGGTTCTCCTTTTGTGAGTACCTGATTGCATCGGCAAACATGGCGTTCCACATGACGGTGGTTCTGGACTTCCCAACAGAGCAGCTGATCGTGGCACAGGGATCACCAGGCATGGTACTCGTCAGCTCGACCACAGCAACCCAGCAGCAACAGGAACATCACTGGAAGTCTGAGTAGTTCCTCTCTCAACTTGCTCTTATATGTATTCTTGCCACACTCGCTTCTCTTCACTCACCAGCCACTGTTCGGAGTGGCTGGGTCAGAGTAGTTTGGCAATTTAGATGCAGCATTGGTCTGGTGTATATTTGTTTTAAAATATTACACCAGTCCAAAATTTTACAGCTAGGCTACTAACTGCAGCCATTTACTGCAGAATCGTTACTTGAAGGATGAGCCATGTTAGCTTCCACTATCAGACAGCTGAGAACATTGATATGATTGGTATATTCAGATGTGGATTTCTGCTAGTCCCTTGTGTAATTTTTTTTTTCACATGATTAAAGAATTAGACCCACAAGAACTCTGCAAAACAGAGGTGACAACTGATATATAGAACACAACTATCCATAACAATCGAATAGTATGTGGAACATGTCTCTTTGTTCTGAAAGGTTAAGTATCTTCTTTATTTTTCCTTTAATTCAATGCCTTCATTAGAAATTTTGTTTTATAACAGTTGAAACATGTCTGAAAATATACCACAACCACTGTCATGATGTGAAATTCCAATGCTGCATGTATATTGTGGAGGTTTTTATGGATCTGGCAGAGACAATTAGTTGGCTGTTTGGGCCCAGCCCAGCCTAGTTAGTCTAGCCAGCATGTGCCTACAAATCCATCTAAGGGATTATTTCACATTGACTTGTAAAACCATAGGCAGGAGGAAGCATAGAAGGCTTTAATTTCATACCAAAGAATAAGATCCTGATTTTTTAAGGTAGCAATTTTAGTCATATTTATTTGTTATTTATTTGTCAACTGTCTTAAGTTACTGGGTCCTTCCTTTTGTGTTTTGGGAGCTGAACTGCTCTGTCATTAATGAAGCATATTGCTTTGGTACTGCAGAAACACAGTCTTGCCCAGAACGCATAGATAGTGCAGTTTCTTTTCAATACATGCCTTTTTGTTCATGTAGTTTTTGTAGCATTGCAACTAACAATTTTACTGATCCTGGACTGTGAAGTTAGCTGCACTGAATCAGAATATGACTGTCCAGTTGCCCGGTTACTGTTACTAATATAACTTGAGTTAGAATTCTTCAGGTAGTGATTAAGTTCTAACTGGAAGATGTGGAAGTGTGGGTTATGCAAGAATGCATACAGAATTTTGGTAGGTAAGTTTGTAAGTTTCATGGAATGTGACCACATCAAAGACTTGGAAGAAAGTAGACACTGATATTAAAATGGATCTGAAGAAAGTGAGTTCTGAGGGTGTGAACTATATGTCTTTTTACCACCAGATCAATTTATTGGTGAATGCAGACACTTTTTAAACANCAACTAATAATAATAATAATAATAATAATAATAATTCAATTCAGTTCGTGTTTATTTACGTGCAAACTTAACAGCACAGTGGCCAATTACAAAGTTAGCATGAGTACATAGAAATACACAAAAATAATTACAAAATATGACAGTCTATATAATAGCAATAAATTAATAACAGTTCGAAGAAAATTGAAGTTAGCTTTAACAGGCGAGAAAAATAAAATAAATATATTTCCAATAGTTATAACATTTGTGGCGAGAAAGGACAATGCATGTACATACACACACAGAAGTTCACAATAGTAATAACAATAACTCAAATAATTATAATAATAATAATGCTATCAACATAAATCAAACCTATCATTGAGAAGTGAAAAAATTAAATTATATACAATTAGTATTTTTGATTGGAATAATCATGGCTGCAATAAAATATAAAACAGTTCAAATTTTAAATGGATTAGTGTATAAACATATTAATTTATTCCATATTTTATTTATTTACATACTAAATATAATCGAGAGAAACAGCCCCGACTGCAAATATGTCGAGATCTTTACCCACCGCGTTTGGCAGCATAGGCGCACCGAGCAGAAGGACAGTGTTTATTAGAGGGACAAACACCAAACAATAAGAAGCCCCCAAGATTGCTGGAAGGAACATGAAGGCTAACATTTTCCAAAAGGGAAGAGCATGATTTAAGCCCACAATAGACCTGAATAAAAAAAGTGCGTTAAGGTGATGTCTCTGTTTACGTAAATATTGTAGAATTAATTTCTCTAAGGCATCTGTATAATTATATGGAATACAAGGGAAGAAACAATAAAAACGGATGGAAACAAACTTCTGTTGGATGTGCTCAAGCTTATTGGCATCAGTCAAAGTGATGGAGTTCCAAACTACAGAGGCATATTCCAACTTGGACCTGACTAAAGTCAGGGAGGAAAATCTGTACATTATGGAGCGAAAGAGGCCTAAAAGCTTCATGCATCCAGAAAATACGTAATCAAAATGTGTGTGAAAATATAATTTTGAATCAAAGAAAACACCTAGGTCCTTAATACTACTGTTGCATGTAATGATAGCATGACAAAGCTGATATTTGTAGCTCAGAAAATTTGTTTTTCTGGTGTATGATACAACACACATTTTAGCAATATTAAGTCTCGTGGAGTTAACAGTGCTCCAGTCACTCACAGAATTAATGTCAGATTGAAGTAAGAGGCAATCATATGGAGAGTTAATGATGCGGAAAATTTTGAGATCATCAGCAAAAATTAAAAGTTTACAGTGGTTAAAGGGGTTGCATAGGTCATTTATGAATACGTTTGTGGGATTTGTCGATACTCCAATAGACAGCCACTTCGGAAAGTTTGCGGGCCCTGAAAAGGGCCGCTTGTTCCACTGCGGTAGATAGTTTTATGGCCATTCGGCTGGTCTGTCTGGCCGGTGATGTAGTGCTGCGTGTGCCGATAGAAATAGGTGTTGGCTAATGTTGCGGCAGCTGAGTTAGTTGTCTGGTCGCAGTGCAGCAGTTGCCTGAAGATGTCTAGTCGCAGAGCGCGGTCGCTGGAGTGGCGGCAGCTGTGCCAGTTGCCTGGTGTGTTGGGCATGACCACCGGAGAGCTGAGGCAGCCAACCCTGACGCAGTAAACGCCGATGACTCCGAAGACCAATCGCTCTGGACTAGGTGTGATGGCTGACTGGCTGGTGTGGTCACTAATGATTGCTGTCAGAGTCAAAGTCATGTTACAACTGACGGTCAGTCAGTCTGTCTGTCTTGGTGTCGAGCCCCAGCTTGGGCTCATCACCAGATATTTCTTTTGAATGAAAGTTACTGTCTTGTCTATGTGGGGCGCCCTCTCTGACAAGAGGTCAGGTCTGTCATTTGTCAGTCAGTCTGTATTAATATGTCCACTCTCTGTATTTACATAAATTTACAATACACACTTATTTCTTACTTTTATGTACAATATATACAAGGCCTCTGTCAGTCCAGGCTTAGTACAGCAGATTACGCCCTATTTCCAGTATTATTCACTACCACGGCAGTCTAGTCACTTGAACAGTCGTATGCCTGACCGCCACCAAGTTTAAGCCTCTTATACTTTCTGTGGCGGGCTTTGCCTTGTCCGATGTTGCGAACATTCTCATTATCATGATTTTGTATGACTTCTGCTTGTTGCCTGCATAATTTTGTTATAAAGTCATATACGTACAGGATTTTGAATGCCATGTGCAAATCGCAGGCCGGTGTGTGCCTCGAAAAATTGCCAGTGGTGCGGAGAACCTTGTTTTGCAGGCGCTGCAGTTTCACTAGATGGGTGTCTGCCGCAAACTCCCAGGCGGGACTAACATAAGTCATTACGGATCTAATGAGA